ATGCCACTAACGCCCGGCTGTAGTAGGTTTTTATGTACTTATATCCATAGAAAGCATAGCATTATGTGGATTAATAAACCAAATATGATGTATGTTTCTAGAACTTGTTTTACAAACATGCTAACAAGATAGTTTTTTTCTAATTTAACACAGCTTTCTTAAACTACGAGGGGTACCAGGAGTATAAATAATGCAAAATCATACACAATGACATAGAAGTTTGAGGCCAGCCTGGGCTACCTAAAACCTTACCTCAAAGCAATCAACCAAACAGGCACACGAACTAAAACCATTATTAAAACTTTGAAAAAAACAAAACAAACATGCCCAGGGAAGCTGCCATAAAGCCTCTCTCTCTCTCTCTCTCTCTCTCTCTCTCTCTCTCCCTCTCACTCTTCTGGTCCATGATAGAACTTAATTCTGAAAGTGTGCAACGTATCCACGTTTGCACAGGAAACACCCACTCATTAACTAAACAACTTTCCCTCCATTATGCATGACTTTACCTGCTTATTGCCAAAATGGAATTGCGACCATCTTAGACACTCTTTTTTGAAGAGACACCATGACCAAGGCAATGCTTATAAAAGAAAGCAAAATTTAATTTAATTCAGGGCTTGCTTAGTCTATTATCATCATGGCAGGGAGCATGGTACTGAAGCAGTATCTGAGAGCTACATCCCAGCCTGTAAGCAAAGAAAGACACTGGGCCCAGAGTGGGCTTTTGAAACCTCACTGTCACACTTCCTCCAACAAGTCCACACCTACTCCAACAAAGCCACACCTAATCCTTCACAAATAATGTCACTCACTGATGACTAAGCATTCAAATCTATGTGCTTATGGAGGCCTTCTTATTCAAGCCACCAGTAACTTAAGCCCTTTCTCTTAAAACTTTATTATCATTGTGCACACATGACGTCTGTGTGGAAGTGTGTGGGGATACTTTGTTTATGATCTGACAAATAAAGCCTATCTGAAGATCAGAATGCAAAGCTAGCCACACTAGTTAGCCATAGAGGCCAGGCAGTAGTGGTATACGTCTTTAATCCCAGCACTTGAGAGGCAGAGGCAGACAGATCTCTGTTAGTTCAAGGCCACCCTGGGCTACACAAAATTGATCTAAAAGAGAAACAGCTCACTTACACAAAGGTGATCCCAGCACTTGGAATGACATGCCTTTAATTCCAGAACTAAGGCGGTAGAGACGGGAGTGTTATGCCTGGCAGGAGAAAGGAATGTGAGGTGGGCAGAGACAAGAGTCAAGATGCAGTCTAGCAAGGCAGTCTGAGGCTCAGTGCCGTCTGAGGAGCAGTGCCGTCTGAGGAGCAGTGCCGTCTAAGCAGTCTGAGGACAGGATCACCCCTTCGCTCTGAGCATTGGGAGAGGTGAGAACCCTCTTGTGACCGGCCACTTTGCTTCTTCAGCATTGACCTCAGTATTCAACTCTGCGTTTTTATTGCTAAGAACAATTTGAATTCACGCTACAGAAGCAGAGGGAATGCATGCCACACGGCAGATGTGGAGGTCAGAGGTCAATTCTGTGACCTGGTTCTTTCCACCTTTTCTTCCCATGGGTGGAACTCATGCAACAGCAGATCCATCTCACTCCCAACCCTTTTTTCCTCAATGAGATGGTGTCTTGCTTTGGAGCCAAGATGAGCCTTGATCTTGAGCCTCCTGCCTTGGCCTCCTAAGTAGTATTACAGGTAAATGCATCACACTCAGCTTGATTCAGATTTGTGTATTCATGGGTACGCTATGTGTGTGTGTGTGTGTGTGTGTGTGTGTGTGTGTGTGCATGAATGTGTATTATATGTATAGAGATCAAAGGAAAACCTCTAGTGTCATTCCTTAGGACCTGTCCATCTTATTTTTAGGTCAGGCTTGCTTGCTGGCCTGAAGCTTGCACAGTAAGCTAGGCTGGAAGCCAGTGAACCCCAGGGCTCTACCTGCCCCCAACACTGTTCGTACAAGCATGTGCCACCATGCCCAGCTTTGGTACATGGGTTATGGGGATCAAACTCTGGTCCTTGTTTGCTTTGCCAGGAGTTTACCAACTGAGCTACCATCTCCACCCCAATTCAGACTGCTTGATGGAAAATTTATGTAAATTCTGGAAAACGTCACAAAATTCACACCCAAGAACTAGGATGGGCTGGGATAGTTTTCTCAAACATTCATATTAGTATAACAAATTCTTTAACAAAAAGAAATATTTAAGGCTCATCTTTTTAAATAAGTTAACCTACTAGTAACCAGAAATGTAACAATGTGAACTTTTGCTTCATTTGACTCTTTGGTGTAGAACACAAAGTTAAGCCTGTTGCCATGGTCTAGCAACAACTAAGAGATCTACACTTATTTTGACAGGGCAGAATTTAAACTTTACACTAAACAACTCCCATTACTGAGAACACAAATCCTTTGCATACAGAGAAACATTCTTCTAGTATAGGCATATCTTTGGGACCACAGACATCCAAAGTGAAATGTAATCACAGAAGGGTAGATTGATTTCTAGAGGCCACAGGGGTCTGGAAGGTTTCATGAAGAGACAGAATTTAAGGACTTTAGGGTGGGGGTGTAGCTCAATAGCAGAGTACCAGTCAAGACTGCATAAAGCCCCAAGTTTGACCTTCTGAACCAAAAAAATTAAAAGACCTTGTGAAAGCCTTTGGTAGAGTGGAACTAAGCAGTATGAACAGAGGCACAGCACCAGGAAAACAAGAAGGGCAGACATCAGACAGTTCAATGGTAACTGGGAGAAAGGGGAAGCAAGCTGGGAATACTGGCAAGGCCTACCAGGGCAAGCTTTAGACAACAGATCAATATTAAACAATGGCAGCCACTCGAGTTGGATAATAGGAAAATGAAAATTTCATCTATTATAAAAGATACAAGTATCTACCAATTTACAAAGAAATGGTCAGAATAAAACATGGCCTTGGATTTTATTTTCTTAAGTCTCTCCACTTCTCTGGCTAGGTCTGGAACTTGCTATGTAGACCAGGCTGGTCTTGAACTGAGATCCTCTTGCTTCTGCCACTTGAGTGCTGAGATTAAATATATATATATATATATATATATATATATATATATAGATATCTGCTCAGTCTAATAATTTGGATTTTTTGTTTGTAGACAGGGTCTCTATGTAGACCTGGCTGTCCTGGAACTCGCTCTGTAGACCAGGCTGACCTTGAACTTACAGAGATCTGCCTGTTTCTGCCTACTGAGTGTTGGGATTAAAGGTGAGTGTCACCACTGCTCAGCCTAATAATTTGGATTTTTAAATGCTTTCATTTATGTAAACGCTAAATGTTCATTTTATCAATAAGTCAACCTTTGATTTTCCTTACTTGGGTTACTATGGATGATTAATCTTATCTACTTTAAAACTGGATTAATATTGGTAGGTGATTTATGTAAAGATACCACATAAAGATACCACAAGAATAATATTCCTATTTAATACCATCCTGAGGGGAGGCGATTTACATAGTTAAAAAGAAATTAATGAACAAATACAAAAGAAACCCATTGTAAAAATATATTTTAATCTCACACTAGAACATTAGCATTTAGAAAATCATTTCTAACAATATTTACAATGAATGTTATTATAGTTTTTTTTTTTTTTCTTTTTCAAGGAAGAAGATGCTTCTTTCCAACTTTGGGATGACAAAGATAAAAGAGTTCTGGTGAAAATCATTAAGATCATGTCAAATTCTCATAGATTACTGTGGTTAAAACTTGTATCTGCATAGATCAGGACAGAGGCAGCAAGTGGGTGCCTGCCCACCCCTCCTCTGTATATGACCAAGCTGCATCTGAAACATACAGCAGACTTTCCTGGGCATAGCACACCACGAGTCCTCAGCAAATGGTTTAACTCTTGAGTCTTTGACTATCAAAACTAATGACCTATTGGTCACTTCCGAGACAGTCAGTCACTATGCTAATAATAGTCAGGAAATTGTTACGGGACCTGCTGCCTTCCCTGAGTGGGAAGAGGGGATGTCTATACTGTAGATCAAAGGCACGACTGAAGAACTATCTCAGAGGCTAACAGTAAAAAGCAGTTTGACTGAGAGCAGCTCATTGCCTACAGCATGAGATCAAAGTTTTAAAGAGCTAGGGCTAATAAAATCACCTACCAATTGCTTTCTGTAGGACTAAAGCAGCTGAGGTCTGTTTCTAGAGAAGGGAAAATGATCGTGTAGCTTTGTGAAACACACTGGTCACATTTTGATTTAGTCCTTGATCAGAAATCTAAGAAAGTCAGATGCAATGGTGCACACCTTTAATCCCAGCACTTGAGAGGCAGAGGCAAGCGGATCTCTGTGGGTTTGAGGCCATCCTGGTCTACAGAGTGAGTTACAGGACAGCCAGGAGTACACAGAAAAAAACCCTGTCTTGAGAAAAATCTAAAACTCAAATGTCTTGTACCTATCTAAAAATACAATTCATGCTGGGCATTGGTGGCACACGCCTTTAATCCCAGCACTCGGAGGAAGAGGCAGGCAGATCTCTGTGAGTTCAAGGCCAGCCTGGTCTACAGAGCGAGTACCAGGAGAAACCCTGTCTCGGAAAAGAAAAAAAAATTCATTTTATGTCTTTGTAGAAATAAATTTGAAGAAAAATAGACACTCCATGTTTCTATTTCCCTGGAATTGACCACTTTTGCCTGGGAAAATATGCATGGAATTCAGTATTAAACTTCAAATTCATCCTTTTCCCACCCTGTGATTTCTTTAAGCAACAGGTACTGAAGAAGCTAATAATTAGGGGTAGTAGGATAAAAACTCTCAAGTCACGTTCCCATGTAGGAGCTTCATGAAAGAAGTATCCAGCATTAACTAGCCCTGGTGTAACCCACCTGTAATCCCAGCACTCAAGGAGGATGAGACTGAGGGATCTCCAGGTCAGGCCAGCCTGGGCTATACAGTGAGACCTTGTCTCAAAAACCTAAAGAAAAAGAACTTCAAGCAAGAAACTCGTGGTATATCTTATTATATTAAAATGTAAGAAATTGGAAATCTGGTTTTATTTTGGGGTGTGTGAGTATGTTCTGGGGATTAGAACCAAAGCTTCATACATGCTAAACATGCCCCAGGTTTGGTTTTGTAACTATACATGGTTGGTAACTGTTTCCTTAATAGTTATTGCAGGAGTAGGTCCAACATGAGTCCATATGTAGCCCTTCTCTGGTCTGGTGGGAACTGTAGGAAATGGTGATGACCTTGACTTGAAATACTCAGAAGGTGCATGGCAGACAAATTCCAGGTATTCCATCTTCCTTGGAAGATCTTCCTCCGGCCCTAATAGGAAGCAGCAAATGGAAAAGTTAAACACAGTTTTGAACGTGGATATCATTTTATGAAATGTTAGCACTCAGGATGGGCTACCTGACACTAGCCCTTAAAAAGTATGACTCTGACGTCACACTGCACTATGTACTCTACTTCAACTGATTAAGGAACACAGCATCCTAGAATACGGACTATTTAGAGTTTATGAAGCCTGTACTCCTTTTCTGAAGAGAAACAGAGCAAGAGTGGATTGGTGGGGGCAGGGGACAGGCAGGGATAGGAGAGAGGGGAAACTGTGTGGTCAGGATGAAAATTAAATAAATTAATAAATTAATTAAAACAAAAACAAACGAGAGAGGGTGACAGGCAGCAAACAACTAAGGAGTCATGAACCTGGCAAGGTCAAAGGACAGAACTGCACCTCAATGACTGAGGTAGTAGAATCCTATTGACAATGAAAACAAACAAGTGTGGCAAGATGTTTTATAAAACCATGATTACGTTTAGAAATAAAATATTCTCAGAGACAGAAAAAGGCTGGTGTCCTTATAAGAGGGACTGGGGAGTTCTCTTTCAGTGTGCACACACAGAGCAAAGACCATGGGTTGGGTGGGTGGGGGGAAACAGCAAAAAGCAGCCACCTGCAAGCCAGGAAGCAAGGCCTTACCACACAGTCCTCTGACTTCCACCCTTCAGAGCAGCCTTTATAAAGCACTGAAGAATGAGATTTAAGAAGCTGTGCCATTACGCAGCCTTACCTATTATATAGGACGCAGGGTCAAACTGGTCTCTGGGGCTGGCGAGGGTGGGAATGAGCCAGGTCAGGGCGGCACTCTTCTCACAGTACTGGTCCTGAATGAACCCTCTGATCTGAGCATAGTACGGCTTTCCATCTTGCTCATCAACCACAGAAACAACATCACCAATTTGGTAATACACTCCCTGGGGAAACGGAAGATCATCTTGTATTTAAAACAGGAGCAGCTCACAGTCACAAACAAAACATTAACCAGCAAGCAATTTTCAAACAGGAAAAAAAAAAGGTCTGAGTACCACCAATGTTTTACATTATGTTGACATGTGTTTCACTTCTGAATGAAAATAGTTATTCATACACATACATGACAATTTGCAATTGGGGAAATATTTCTTTATATAAATTCTTTGATTTTTGTGTCATGAAAATGCTATCTCTACTTTTTAAGAGAAAGACCACTTTTTTATTTGAATTAGAAACAAGATTGTTTTACATGACAATCCCAGTTCCTTTCTCCCTCCCATCCTCCCCTACCACCCCTCCCCCAACTAAAACCCTACCTATCACATATCCTTTCTGTTCCCCCTGGATGGTGAGGTCTTCCATAGGGTGTCATCAGAGTCTATCGTTTCCTTTGGGATAGGGCCTAGGCCCACCCCGGTGTGTCTTGGCTCAGGGAGTATTCCTCTATGTGGATTGGGCTCCCAAAGTCCACACCTATGCTAGGGATAAGTACTGATCTACTACAGGAGGTCCTGCAGATTTCCAAGGTTTCCTCAATGAAATCCATGCTCCTGGGGTCTGGATCAGTCCCATGCTGGTATCCCAGCTATCAGTCTGGGGAGCAAGAGTTCCCCGATGTTCAGTTCAGCTGTTTCTGTGGGTTTCACCAGCCTGGTCTTTCTCTGCATCTGGATTCCAGTTCAGTTCAGTGGTATGTTGTGGGTGTCGGCTTCTACTTCTACCAGCTGCTGGATGAGGGCTATCAGGTGGCACATAAGTCAGTCATCAATCTCATTATCAGGGGAGGACATTTAAGGTAGCCTCTCCTCTGTTGCTTAAGATTGTTAGCTGGTGTCATCTTTGTAGCTCTCCAGACATTTCCCTAGTGCCTGATTCTCTGTAAACCTAAAATGTCTCCCTCTATTATGGTGTCTCCATTCTTGTTATCTTCTATTCTTCCCCTGACTCAACCTTTTTGCTCCCTCATGTCCTCTGCATCCCTCCTCTTCTCCCCTTCTCATTTTCTTAGCTCCCTCCCCCCTCTTCCTGTGCTCTCAATTTGCTCACGGGATCTTGTCCCTGTCCCATTCTCCAGGGGACAATGTATGTCTCTTTTAGGGTCCTTCTTGTTTACTAGCTTCTCTGGTAGTGTGGATTGTAGGCTGGTAATCCTTTACTCTATGGAGAAAGACAACTTTTAAGAATGGTTTTGAGCCGGGCGGTGGTGGTGCACGGCTTTAAACCCAGCACTCGGTAGGCAGAGGCAGAAGGATATCTGTGAGTTTGAGACCAGCCTGGTCTACAAGAGCTAGTTCCAGGACAGCCTCCAAAGCCACAGAGAAACCCTGTCTCGAAAAACCAAAAAAAAAGAATGGTTTTGAATTCACCACAACCATTCAGGCCAGGTAGAGCCAGGGAATTTTCCCTAGTGTCCTTTCTTGGCACATATCCAGCATCCTGCTTTATCCGTATCCTCATTATCAGGGGAAACACTGATGGCAACTGATGTGCCTACACCACATCATGATCAAACATCACAAATTAACCTTAATATTGGTGCTCTATAACCTGCGGGTTTGGGACATGTGTAACAATGGACCTACTATGATCATATCATTGGATACTTTCTTCACTGGCCTAACAATCCTCTATACTATCCCCAGTTTTTTTTTTTTTTTAACCCAGTAATTAGTAGAAAAGTTATATGACTCATCTCTGAAGTCCACACAAGGCAGAAACTGCAAACTGTGTGCCTACACTCACTAGCTTAGTGGTTTTCCTGTACCACCCTAAAGATCAGCATTTGCTTGATGAGACTAGACTCTACACATTGCCTTCTCCAGTTGTCTATTCAAAGAAAATAAATATGGTAAATTCAATCCAAAAGAAACCATGAGAACCTCTTTGATTACAACCAGCATTCAGGATATGTTCACCCTCAAGTTGCCACACATTCCCAGACTCCTTGACAACCGTCTCCTCCATGCCCTTTCTGTTTATATCTTCCCAGCATTACGACTATGATATATTCATTTCCTGTTCTACTTTGTATCTAACCAACTAATCTGTACAATTCCAGTACTGAATTCTCACCCAGGACTCTACTATCCATCCCAGGTCCTCTTTCCTGGATCCTGAGCTGGAAAAATTTCACCTGTGAATATCCATGATGGTTGAACTTCAGAACTTTCCTTAAGTGTGTATAGTCCTCAAAAGGTCATACGTTCCTCAACTGAGGAACGATGTGTGTTTTCTTTCAAACAAGGCTTTTGTAGCAGCCAAAGCTGCTAAGATATGTGAAGTTTAACCACAGAAAGATTCTGAATACTTTCAGTAATTCAATTGCAACACGGGACATCTGATAGACCATGGGTTTCTCCTAGTAGATGCTTGTTCATGTCTGAGGTGATGCACACCTGGGTCCCAAAGAATGTGTACTGTCATTGCAGGCTACTTATTGGATCACAGCTATTATCAGCTGGTCCTTCCCTGTCCCTATGACTCCAAGGTTCTAATCAGATAAAGTTTGGTTTGTTATCTGCTATGTTCACACATAATTTCTCCCAAATTATAAAAGGTTGCATTTGTTTATCACAGGCACTCAGATATATGCTGAATAACACTGCAATGCAAACATAAGGTCTTAAGTCTCCCTTATTTGAGGGTGAGGGTGTGTGTGTGTGTGTGTGTGTGTGTGTGTGTGTGTGTGTGTGTGTAGTGGGAGGAATACATCTAATACCCTAGGAGATATCTGAACCTTGGATACTGTTACTCTAGGCACTCCAAATTTTCCTCCTATATATACCTGTACTTACAATACAGTTTAATTTGTAGTTTGGGTAAGAGATTAACAGCAATAACTAGTGATGAAGAGAACTAATAACTAGCGATAAAACAGAACTGAAACTGCAGATAAGGGAGACTACCATACAATACCTAACAAAGACATTCTATCTAAGCCTCTCCATTTTCAGGCAGAGAGAAAGGAGGTGAACGTGTCGAGGAACACTGGACTGGGAATGACACCCTGAGTTCATGCAACCCTGACAGTGCAGTACTCCAGAAAGGTCCCTTGCCCATTCTGCTTTCTGTCTGGTCTGTCAATCCTAGTGACTCCCATTCACTTCTCTCTCTCATGCTTTTATTAGTCTCACATTATGTGTATGTGCACGTGAATACGGGAGCCACAGAAGACAAGGGAACCTTTATCCCTGGAGTTGGAGTATAGTTAGTTGTGGCTGGCTGGATGCAGGTGCTGGAACTGAACTCGGGTCCTCTGAGACAGCGATAAGTGCTCTTAACTACTGTTCTACCTCTCCAGTCCTTCCCTCACACATGTTTGATATGGGGCTCCAGTTCGGCTTAGACACCCACTCTGTTCTCTTGAACGTGCCACCATGAGGCCGGCTCTGCTCTCAGAGTGTACACAATGCTGGCTATCTGAAACAATACTTGAACACTTTGCTGTATTTCAGCCTTACTATTTAATAAATATAGTGGTAGATAGCAATAAGAAAAGACTTGTCCTTGCAACAAAGAGTCCCATGCGTTTTCACATTAAAACACACAGAGAAATCACTAGTACACTAAATTTCTATCTTCTAGACTTCGTGTGAACTGCTGGAGAAGTTCCACACAAATTTGAAGATGTGGTGATGACCATTTGTACCATTCACTGACCTTGCTAAATGTTTAATATGCATAATCTCAGGAAGAATTACTATTTACAATCTTTACTTTTCAGATAACCACCTGCCCAAGGCAATGGAGCCAAGATCTGATTCCTGGGCTTAAGTTCTAGTGTCACACTGCCTTGCCCCATGACTTACCAGCTACACCATAAGCTAATTAATCTCTCTGTGAGTCAATGTCGTTATCTATAAAATGAGGGAAACAGTACTCACCCCAGAGGACACTGAATCAAACAAAACTCTTGAAACACTCAGCTCACTGGCTGGTCTTTAAGATGCATGCTCATGTGTGCAAGCGTTTGAGGACACGTGTGCTCACACTCAACACACACTCGACTTCATCTAATGATTCACAATCATCAATGTACTAAATTCTAGAAATTTAGGAGAAATTCTGACCTATGACGCACTTCTTCTTCTTTTTTTTTTTTGACTAAAATACCTGTGAACTAACAAAAACATATACACTCAAAGTTCAAACCATTTGAATATCATAAGGGATTTGGTCCACTGGGTCAGGTAGAAAGCACTGACTCACCACTGCCTCCTGCAGGACAGTTCAGATCCCAAACACCAAAGAAAATTAATGATTGCTATCTATGCCAGGCCTGACAGCCTTTAGGACATTTTCTATATTCTATGTCCTTTTATGTCTTCCACTTTACAAGTGATAAGATATCACACCCGTCACTGAAGTCATGAATATCTGTTTTGGCACAAGGGAAGACCTTATTTTATCAACAAAATCTTGGACAGTGAACTAAGAATACCCTTGTTCAAAGTTTTGGTTTTTGTGCATGGAAGTTTGTATACCATGTGTGTGTGTACCTGGTGCCCAAGGAGGCCAGAAGGTGGCGGATCCCCTGGAAATGGAATTACTGACGGTTGTGAGCTACCATGTGGGTGTTGGGAATTAAACCTGGGTCCTCTGGAAGAGCAGCCAGCGCTCTTAACTGCTGAGCCATCTCTCCAACCCAACTTTTAAACATTTTTCTTCTTTTTATTTCAATAGATTCATCCAATACATCTCAGCCACATTTTCCCCTCCCTCCCTCCACTCCACCAGGTCCCCCTGCACCTCACCTCTCCCCAGATCCACCCCCTCCATTGGCCTTCAGAAAAGAGCAGACCTCCAAGAGACAACAGCCAAACACCACGTTAACAGCCACACACATATACACAGAGGACCTGGTACCTCTCTCTACCTTATTGCTCTTGCTTCTGCCTTAAGGCAGTTCACAATCACTAACTTGCTCTTCCCACAGCATGGTCAATGCCGTCCATTCATTCACTCCTACCTTTGTCCTTCTGACCCACTGATGCCTTGGCTCTGAACAGGACGACTCACTCTTACAGAGCTCCACACTCCACACTAGCACTGTGAGAACAACTCCTTAGCACCTCCATATCATCTTCTCTTCCCAAAGGCAACCTCCCCTTCTACCTGAGCTCTGTGCATGAGATGTGTTACAACAGCCACCTGGAGGGACAGCTTAGAAGGGCACTGAAAAGGTAACCACATCTTCTTCACAAAGTAGCAGAGATGTTCCGACTAAGCCAGTATTTTAGAAGCACACTGTACCAGAGGCCCAATTGCTCTTTCAGTAACTCCACAGCAGCTCACCTTGTAGAAGATGGATTCTGCAGTAATTATAGTAGAAACAGATTCAGGAGCTTTGATAGGCTGTAAGAAAACAAAAATAAAAATATCTGTGTATCCATATAGTATGCAAGGGCATTTCCCAACCACATGAGAACTGGATTATTTGAGAAGAACAAAACATTGTTATTTGGTGACAAAAACTGCAAGAAAAATTTCTGACAGGTGAGATGATACATACATGTAATCGCAACACTTGGAAACCTAAGGCAGGAGGATAGCAAGCTCTAAATCAGTCTGGGTTATGTAGCAAAGAGTAAACACACGCACCCGAGCGCGCTCGCGCGCGCACGCGCACGCACACACACACACACACACACACACACAGGCACCACACACATACACTCAATGAAAGAGTTCTTGAATGCTGATATGAAGCAGCTATTTCCAACTATATTTGCTATCAATAATTTAAAAGGTGCTTAAAAAACGAGATAAAGTTTCTGATCATGTCTCAGAGCTCTAGTAGACATTAACATGGAATTACATAAATACACTGGCTCTAAACGTCTGAGCACGACACAATGGAAATTATAAAAAAATTAGAGATGAACATAAAATGAAAAATTCCTTTTTAAAATTGCAATACAAACTTCATCACAACATAAAAAAAAAGACCCCTCCCATGATTTTGTGCCATTCTTGAAGAACGAAGATGCAGAGAAATTAATAATGAAATAACTCAAGAACACCGGTTGAGAAAATATACCTGTTATACAATGTTAACGTTTTCACTACTCAGAAAAAAACCTTAGTTTAAGAAAACTAAATTATAAAAATCTTCAACTATAAAAACCATACTCTTGATTAAGAGAAGAGTCACTGGTTGGTAGATGCCATGCAAGCCTGACAACCTGAGGTGGATACTAGAACCCTAGGGGGAAGGAGAGCACCAGCTCCTGGAATCTGCCCTCGGGTCTGCACATATGCACTATGGCATTCACACCTGCACTCAAATGCAAACAATAAAGAATAAATTAGAAAAGAAGAGAAAATCAGGCCTGGAGAGAAAGCTCAGTGGTTAAGAGTACTTGTTGCTCTTGGAGAGGACCTAGGTTCAGTCCCCAGCACTCCCATGACAACTCACAGCACAACTGTCTGTAACTCCAGTACCAAGGGATCAGATGTCCTCTGCCAGCCTCTGAGGGTACTTGGTATATACATACAGACTCATACACACAGAATAAAAGCAAATATTTAAACAAGAGTCTACAATCTGGGCCCCTCTGTTCTGGTAAGCGAAGCATTTTTGTTCCAAAGTAATACCAAATGTTCAATACCGATGTCTCATATGTACAAAAATAAAACATCACAACAAACGTCTCCAGCATGAGACTTTAAGCAATCTTTATAAATCAGGTTTAGAAAAAAAATGTGGATTCATATTCACAAGTTCATCATGAGCCAATAGATACATTTTTTTTTTCTGGGGCTATCATAACAAATATGGTATTGATGAATTCTGTTATTTGCTTAGATTGTTACAAGATAGAAAAAAGTTTACTTATTTAACTATGCATCAAGAGCCATAACTTCATAAAATTGTCAATGAACTAATTTAACCACTTTTAAAAAAGAACCACAATCGTTCTTTGCATAAAGAGATAAAATTGAGATAATTGAGATAAATTATACAATATTTCTTAGGCTCGTTTTATATTTTCCAGATGAAAAAGTAAAAGCGCTGGGCTTTTGGTTGGTGGCGCACGCCTTTAATCCCAGCACTCAGGAGGCAGAGGCAGGGGGATCTCTGTGAGTTAGAGCCCAGCCTGGTCTCCCGAGTGCGTGCCAGGACAGGCTCCAAAGCTACAGAGAAACCAAAAAAAAAAAAAAAAAAAAAAAAAAAACCAAAAAAAAAAAGAAAAAGTAAAAGCAAGGAGGGAGAGAGAGATGGAGAGATGGAGAGGGGGAGAGGGGGAGAGGGAAAGGGAGAGGGGGAGAGAGAGAGAGAGAGAGAGAGAGAACTCATCTTTTGGTGAACCTTGCCTTCCCGCCAGACTATTGCAGAAGGGCTCCCAAGAGGCACACCTTCAGGAGGTCCGCGTTCAATGATGAACAGAGAAAGCCGAGACATGGCACAATCACACACATACAGTGTCCTACAGTAAACGCACCGTCCAGGATCATCTTACGTTTTTCAACTTAAAAATATGCCTTCTCCCTTTGCCTTTGGTGGAAACTTTCTTTTCGGCAGCTGGAGCAGATTTGTATTTGGTATTTCGGAGCCGAGCAGACCTTCTGTGAATTTCTTGCTTACTCTGTTATATAATTTTGAGAAAAAAAAAAAAAAACTGTAGAAGAGAAGCCAACAGAATAACCTCACAAACACCACAGGATGTGCTTTGTTAAAATACTTAAAAAAACAAACTACAAATATTTTAGCAAATGCTTTCTACATCTCTTGCTTGTGCATATCTTCCCGGCGTTGTGGAAATAAAACAAAAAACAGGGAGAATTATTTCCTTACTGGGGAATGGGGGTTTTCTTTTTATAGTCTGTGTGAGGGAGGTGGGGAGGGCATGGTTTATGTTGAATGTTTAAAATTTTCTTCTGCGTGATACACGTCATGTTGTGAAATCTTTAGAGAACTCCATACTGTATGAGTTAAGAAAATAAAATATTTGAAACTTGAAAAAAAAAAAAAGAAAAAAACAAACAACAACAACAACAAACCTAACTGAGGGGCTAAGTAAGGCAGAGCAGTCAACCTCCGCAGGGCCTCCCAAGAGGTGTCCCTGCTTCCCAGAGAGGGAAGAGGACGGGAGTGGGCGGAGGCCGAGGCGGGAAACGCTTCGTGGGTGGCGGCGATCGCACGGGGGAGGACACCTCTCGTCTACACCTCGCCCCACCCACGGGTTGTCCACACGGTAGAATTCTCTACCGCTGTCGCTGTCGTGTGGGACAACCTCCTCGTTTATCAGGGACAGCATCCC